TTCTTCAGCAACACCCTCTTAGTTTTTTTCATTTTTTCTTTATTTTACCCTATCATCTACCTTAAATAGAGCACCTTGAAAAATGAAACATAATAATTTCCGATTAGTAATTATCATTTCACTGATAATTTGTAGTTGTGCCAAAAAACCTATGGATAAACAATGTCATGTGGACTTTACAGGATTTAGTCTTTCAACCGACACTAATTTAGTTTTTCCATTTGGAACAGAAAATTTTTGGATTTATGACGACAGTTTGAAACGTGATAATGATACTGCAATAAGGTTAATAACTGACAAGTTCTTGTTTGAATCAACGAAACTATATCAAATTGAAAATGATTTTTACAGCATTGAATTTAATCAATGGAAATCATTTATGACATTAAAAAATGACACTATATATTTCTCTCAACGTTCAACTGATGTAAATGCTTTGAATTGTTATGAACATCATGCATTTCTATTTGAAACGGATAGACCAACTTATCTAAATGATGAAAAAACAATACAATTATATCCTCAAAATGGAATAATTAATACGAAATTAGGTCAAATAGCATACAATTATATCTATTATGCTAGGCCTTCTGTGAAAAATTTTATTAATACTAAAATTGGAATTGTAAGAGAGGAGATATTATCAAACTCCGGGGAAATTATTCGTAGTAAAACATTGAATAACTATTATATTAAGTAATGAAAATTAAGTTCAGATTACAAAAGGGCTCCTGAAAATCTTAACCGGACAAAGCACTCAAGATTACATCCACGAGAGGTTGATTGAATGCGCAAAAGAAAAGCTGACCACAACAGACCTATCCGTGAGCGAAATTGCATATGAGCTTGGGTTTGAGCATCCACAGTCGTTTAGCCGGTTTTTTAAAATCAAAACAAATATCACCCCATTGACATTTAGAGCGAATTTTAATTAGGTGTTGTTGACAATAGATTAAAAGTAACAATTGAAGTTACGCATTTCTTAACAATGCTTTTTCAGCGCTATTGAAAGACTTCAAGTTGGCAAATGTTCCGGAAGTTATTACGCTTATTAAGCAACAGATGGTTGCTACTTTCAATCAGCTGACCAAAGGTCATGAAGATGAAAGGTGGGGCCTACAGGAACAGTATGCGGCATTGAAAACAAAAATAGAACGACTTGAGGAAAGGTTTATCGAGGAGGAGGTAAAGGCCGAACGATACAATAAGTATAT